TTTCTGTAAGGCCCATGAGCTAAGAATGGTTTTTACATTTTTAAATGGTTGAAAAAATTAAAAAGACGGATACTATTTCATAACAAATTCAAATTATGTAAAATTCAAATTCCACAAATAAAGTTTTGCATTTCATCAATAATTTCTTTTTTCATATTATTAAGCACCTACATACTGTCCTTGATTTTGCCTTTTGGTCTGCAAACCGTAAAACAGTCACTCTCTGACTCTTTATAGGAAAAATTACCGACCTCTACTCTAAGCGGATGAAGCATGCAGGTTACCTGTGAATTCAGCGAGCCTTGCATCTCTTCTTGCTGACGCTGACTGAGGAGCGCTGTAAGGGAAGGAGAGGTAGCGGATGTTTTTGGTGCCAGCCTGCAGGCAACAAGTAGAAATAAAAGGCAGAATTAAGATTCACATGGCAAATAAAGTGAAGAGTCCTGACCTATACCGAGGTATTCTGTTTGGATTCCTGGTCTGCAGAGTGTTCCAGCCTGCAAAGTGTATTTCCTTTCCCTCTCATAATAAAATGGACCATTATGAATCTCTGAAACATATTCCTGGAACCTCACTGAGCTTAGGACAAGATTAGGGTCTGCTCCAAACCCAACCTTCAGCTAGAAGTCCCGGTAATATTTGTTAGATATAACCTTAAATAGGAAGAGTCCAGACACACAGTGGGTGAAATGAAGGTGAGGCCTAAGTGTCTCAGCAAAAAGAAACCTCTCCTTGTATCTTCCTGGGAGACCAATGAACCTCCTACAGCTAGATGCACTGGTCCATGGACATTCTCCTGGAATGTTCAGTGTGGACACAATGGTGTCTGTCTCTGGACACAGAGCCCAGCAAGCATGTCCCAGTCACAGACCGGTTCTGGAGGGCAGTTCACTGCTGTGTACCCCATGGGCAGATGCCTCGGGTTCCTACCACCAAGACCCAGAGAAAGAGAGAAGGACGTTGCCTTGGTGTACTGCAGCCTCTTACTTTTGTGTTTCTCTGGCAACTAGGTGTTATTTATTTTTAATATCGATGGAATTTCACCCGAGGAAGCCCTGTACAGGACAAGCCCGGTTATCAGGCGGTAAATGTTTGCTAAGGAAAGGAATGTCTCCAGTCAACAGCGCCAACCAGTACCGGCTTTCCCCACGGCAGGCTGTGGCCTTTCCTCATGCTCTCTCGTAGGGTGTTCTGGCGGCGGATCAGAATCTCTTTCGCCTGCTTCTCACTTGATTGGGGTTTGAGGTTATATTTGTTGTAAGACAGGGTCTGCAGAGAGAATGGAATGGCAAATACTTAAGGACATCTCCAGCGCAAAGTTCAGCCTCAAGAGGTTGCTGAAAAATCCCAAACCAAAGAATATTAGAGCAGAAAGGCACATTGGAGGTTCTCTGGATCAAGTGCCTCAGAGTAGAGACGAGCAAGCTACGGCCAGAGAGGAAAAGTACGTGACCAAGGTCACCCACTCCCGGGGCACAGCTGTGTTTGGAACCTCTGCCTCTGACTTCCAGAAACCAGGGAAGGCGCTTTCCCCGGTTTTGTCTCTCTACTATCCTGTAGCCCCCCACTAAGGTACCCACAAACTGGCTGCCCCACAGACACATTTTCTCTCCCAGGTCATGTTTTCTATGCTAGAACATTGGTTCACAGACTTTTAGCTTTAATGGATCAGGAAAATATTTTGTGAATTCCCACAAGGTTACCATTTTTTTTTTATTTTGCCATTGAAGGACACTAAAAAATAGCTACCAAGTACTATCACCATCACCATCAATTCAAACGGGAAGAGTCTTTCAAGCAAAATAGTTTGTTGTTGTTATTAGGTGACGTTGAGTCGATTATAACTCATCACCACCCCGTGTGCAACAGAACGAAACACTGCTTGGTCCTGGGCCATCCTCACAATCGTTGCTATGTTTGAACCCATTGTTGCAGCCATTGTGTCAATCCATCTCGTTGAGGGTCTTCCTCTTTTTTGCTGACCCTCTACTTTACCAAGTACAATGTCCTTCTCCAGAGACTGGTCCCTCCTGCTAACATGTCCAAAGCATGTGAGACAAAGTGTCACCATCCTTGCTTCTAAGCAGCATTGTGTCTGTACTTCTTACAAGACAGATTTGTCCATTCTTGGGGCAGTTCACAGTATATTCAACATTCTTTGCCAACACCGTAATTCAGAGGCATCAGTTCTTCTTCGGTTTTCCTTGTTCGTTGTCCAGCTTTAGCATGCATATGAGGCGATTGAGAGCACCATGACTTGGGTCAGGCGCACCTTAGTCCTCAAGGTAATATCTTTACTTTCTAACACTTTAAAGAGGTCTTTTGCAGCTGATTTGCCCAATGCAACACGTTTGTAATAAATAAAATAGTAGGAAGGACATAATCTTAGATAAGGAACTATCTTTTAAAATAAGTAAGTTTAAGTTTATGAAAAAATTTTTTTCCTCGTCTTTACCCCAGACTTTGTGGGGTGGAAACTTGTCATGGACCATGGACTAACACTGGTTCTCAGATAGGTGTCTGCAAAGCACTTAACCAGAAATTTTTTAGCCCTCTTGCTCACTCAAGGTTCACCAGTGTGAATGCTCCATTTTCTTGGGGTCACTTAGGTCACACATTGTGTACACCGCTAAACCCCAAAGTCTCATTGGAATAATAGGTGATAGGGAGGCGTTATCCATCCCAGTTAATGATTGTTTTGACAAAGATATTCAGTTCAATAGCAATGTAACAATGCTTACTTAGCACCTATTATGTGGAGCCCTGGTGGCACAGTGGTTAAGAGCTTGGCTGCTAACCAAAAGGTGGGCAGTTCAAGTCCACCAGCTGCTCCCTGGAAACCCTATAGAGCAGTGCTACTCTGTCCTTTGGGTCACCATGAGTCAGAATTAACTAGACAGCAATGGCTTTTGGCAATGGGTATGTGCTAGGTAAGGAGCCCTGGTGGCACACTGGTTAAGCGTGCTTGGCTGCTAACTGAAAGGTCAGTGGTTCGAAGCCACCGGCTGCTTCGAGGGAGAAAGATGCAGCGGTTGGCTTCCATAATGATTTACGTCCTTGGAAACCCTGTAGGGGCAGTTCTACTCTGTCCTATAGGGATGCTGTGAGTCAGAATGGACTGGACGGCAAACAACAACGAGAAGTGCCAGATGCTGTTGTATGCACAGAATTAAAAAGCAATGAATGTTAGAATTCTGGTCTTCAGAAAGTTTATAGTCTATTAGAGGAGTCAAAAAAATAAGCTTATTATGTTGTATGTTGAGGTAAATGATAAAGTATTGGAGTATGCAAGGAGCTATAAGAATATAGAAAAAAGAGCCCTTAATTCAGTCTTAGAGTGGGAAAGGTTTATTTTACTGAGCTGAATCTTGAAAGACAAGTGAGTGTCATCCAGGGAACAAATTCCACGAAGAGGGAGCACATGAGCTAAGACATGAATCTGTGAAACTCCCGAATGGGTGCAGGGGGTTTTAGCAGGGGACAATGGAGCAGAGCTGGGAATTTATTTGTTATCACAGGAGAATGAAGCCCATTTCAAAATGTGGAGAGAGATGAGAGTAGACAGGCAAGGAGGGGCCAGAGGCCAGGCCACAAACAACCTACAAAAAGTAGAGACGCCATTCTCAAGGCCAGGGTGCTCTTTGGTGGAGACACACACTCCAAGAAGTGCCACAAGATGATCCACGGGGCGAGGAAAGAAAATATTAATACTTCTATTATTATTTTGTTTGTTTTTATCCAAAAAGCAAGAATGAGAGTAAACTTTATTAGTGCTTAATCTATAGACGTATAATGGGGCCTTCAGTTGGTCCATGCATGAGTTGGTCAAGGCTCCCATCAGAACAGAAAAGGTTGTTTACAACAAGGAGGGGTTGGCAATGGTGTCCTCATTTGTTTCATTTGCTTTCCATTTATTGTTTGTGTTTCAGTTTATCTGCATGCACTTCAGTGTATCTGTGACCATTAAAATCAAACCAAACCCATTGCCTTTGAGTTGATTCTGACTCGTAGTGACCCTACAGGACAGAGTAGAACTGCCCCACAGGGTTTCCAAGGAGCTGCTTGGTGAATTTGAATGGCCGACCTTTTGTTTAGCAGCCCGAGCGCTTAACCACTGGGCTACCAGGGCTCCTTTGTGACCATTATTACCTATTAAATAAAATAACTCTCACAAAATAGAAAATTATTTTAAAATATTCCCATAAAGAAGTCATAGGTCAAAGGCCAAGGAAACAATGAGAAAGTGACAAAGCTGATCTTTTCCTTCTCTTGACAGGAACTCTTGACCAGCCACTTTACAGAGTAAAACTAATGATAAATTAACAGATCTGACAAGAATTCAGCTATATGTGTATATATACACATATATATGTACATAAAAGGAATTTGAAAGATAGTTTGAAATGTGGATTCTTATCCACCATCATTAACAATGGACCTTAACCTAAATGCATTTTATGAACTGAGATATCAAATAATACAATATGATGCTATCACGAAAAATATTTAAAATTAAGAGACAAACCTTTACAATTTTTATCATTGTTAAAATCATAGAAAACTGAATTCAGTGTGTGTGCGTGTGTGTGTGTGTGTGTGTGTGTGTGTGTGTGTGTGTGTATTGAAGGGATTTCATACACCTAGACTTGGAAAGAGTTTGTGATTTAAGGAAGATGTGGACATTAGGGCCTTCTACTTTGCCTCACACTGAATTACCCATGTACTTATCTATTTTACCTATCTCTAGGGAGCACAGTAGATGCTGGCTATACACACCTTTCTTCTCTCTTCTCCCTCTACTTCCACTGTTTAATGAAGAAGTTAGTGATTATGCTAAGCCTCTATTTCCCACTAAACCCTGAGTTCTACGGGAGACAGAACTTTATCTGTCTTATTCAGTGTAGTGTTCCTAACGCCTGACACATTCTAAATACGCATTGAATATTTGGTGAAGGGAATGAAAATTTGATAAATTGTCTTCTTCTTTTGAAAGTAAGTAGACATTTTGAGAGTGACCTGATCATTTAAGCTACCCCAAGGATCACGCATCAATTTTTGACCCATCTTCATGGCCTGGGCTGAAGCCAGTTTCTTCACTTTTAAGCCTAGAAAGAGTGTTTCTCAATCTCCATTCCCGCTGTGTTCCAGAACAGCTACCTCTGTGGTTGTCCCACTGAGAAGCAGAATCCAGAACATGCCCTACCCTTCGGAGGTTAGTCCCTCAAACTCCCCACCAAAGAAGGTCCTAGACTGGACTTGCTGAGAGGACGGGACTTCAATCAGGAGTGGCCGGAGTCCTCCCATGTGCCACAGACACAGCGTATCCAGCTCAGTTTTAGGATTCAACTGCATAGTAGTATCACCCAGCGTCAAACCCTGCACTCATCCTGGCACTGCCAAGAAGTGACTGCTAACTCCCAAGGTGGTGTCTTCCAGAATGTGGACAGTGAGAAAATGCCCCAACAGCCAACCCTGTACTGTGGGAGGCTAGTGACCTAGCACTCAGGCTGAAGGACCTCCAATATGTAGATTGTCCACTGGAAAGAAAGCAAATGAATATTGTCCTGGGTTACATCATTACATAAATTTTACCTTCAAGAAGGCAGGTAGACCATGATGGATGTGAGGAGTCATGTGACCTTTGTAAAAGATAGGATTAGAAATGAAAGAAAGTAAGGGAAGGATTGGGGAGCTTCATTCTCTTAAACAGTGGAGGCATAAAGCCATTTCAGAGGCTGTAACTCCCCTCTGTTTATTTAGTTTTCCTCATTTGACTCCCCATGGTAGCCAGCAATAAAATCCTTAAAAGTGGTCTATGTGCTTAAATGTGGGGGCAACAAAGAAGTCAGATGCTGAACAGCTTAGAAGGGAGAGCTCCTGAGGATAGACTGAGTAGACACACCTGTAAAAGAAGAAGAAAGTTGGCTGCTGGGTACCTGAGACAAAGGAATAAAATAGAGAATAGGAAGTGTGCCTTGTTTTAGACTGGATTGGAGTCTGGAGATCCCCATTTCCATTTCTGTACCTCTCCCCAAATTTGACCTCCAACAGCATGGGGAAAAGGCTGAGTACCAGGCACCCTTTGCCTCTTGGCCTTCCTCACCAAGCTACTGGCATTCTTCAAACCAGGAAGTTCTTATCTACTTATTTACGGCAGAATGTGATAGTCTTGCTGAAACAGTTTTACTTGGAATGACTTGAAAGCTGTGGAATTTACTCTAAGCATGACTGATGCTGACCCATATTCTTTCAGCTGGTAGAGAGCTTTTTCACTGACACATTCTCCTTAATCATTGACTTTTCTGAAACAAGAAGACGGAAAACATTCACCTTCGTTGGATTATGTAAGTCTGGAGTCATGGAAAGAATACTGGTTGGTGGTTGGAAGATCTAAGTTCTTAACCTGAATTTGTTTTGTGACAAACAGTGAGATAACCAACTTCCCTAACTTCAGCATTTTTGACCTCAAAAGGAGGAGCTGTGACTAGAAGATTTTTGTGTCCCATCAAGGCTATGATCTAAGACACAGTCACAAAAGCCAAGGCCCTCACAATAAATTAACTTATCATCATACTCAAGCATTGTGATGGACAATTTAATTCTTAGACTTGAAAAAATTCCTTATTAGAGGACGTAAGTTTAAATTTCATTTGACAAAGTCAAAGTTCCGGAAGGACTCACATGTTGCCCCTAGAAATGTTCTTTCTATGCACTTTGGAACAGTTTCCAAGTGCTAGACTTCGTACCTATTTGTTTTTAATAGGTATGAAAGTCCAGTCCAAAATTAAAAAATAACATGCCTACTGTGTCTCCTTTTACTCAAGCTTTAAGACTTGTAGTTTCAATATTCTAATCTAACCCATCTCAATTTTCTAAACTCTATCATAGTCGGTAACTTTGAGGCAACTTGACTGTCCTTAGCGTCCTGGTGCCATCTTTTTTCTGTAGTGTTGGTGAATGAGCCTCTCCACTTGTCTGTGTCTGGAGGGGGAGGGAGACCTGCTGGTCTGGAAAGCACAACTGCAGAGCTAGGGCAGCCTGACCCCTACAGCCAACAACTGGATTTGCATCTTCTGTATACCACAGGTTCCAATTTTTTTAGCAGAAAGACAACAATTAAGTTTCTGTTCTCCAAACTAAGCAGAGAGAAATTGTCCAGCAACAAGGCTGCGTTAGAGAGGATAATGTGAACAAGAACTGATTCCTGAAGGACTAGTTCCAAGAATAGGCAATAGGGACACTGCAAGTGGTTCATACAGACCCTTTGTCGAACTCGGTACAGGTTCCGTGTCAGAATGTCCCTCATGGACGCCACGTCTTCAGGGGAAAGTCTTGTGGTTCCTTGTATCCTCTGAGTCCTGCAAACATCATTGGAAGGAATCCAGGCATTATTCTTCCATTTTACCAAGAGGTGTTGAAATCAAAAGTTCCCAAACACCCCGTCTTTGCAAAATGCTTCTTATTGTTTTAATGATTATAAAATTGTATCAATTTATTAAAATGAAAATTAATTACTTGTTTAATTATTAAATGACTTGAAAGTCATGTGAAATGGACCATTTTCACCGTGAAAGCCAGTCGAAGCTTCGAGACACTGGGCACTTGGTGTGAGACTCTGCGCATTGCTGCAGCACTTGACTACCTCCACACACTTCCTTCCCCGTGAGCCCCTGCTAAGGTGTTCAAACACCAGGTCATGCATAGGTTAGCAGTCCGTGCACAATTGTCCTCTGGAACTTCAGAGTCATGGTATTGCTATGTCCAGAATTCTCATGTGACAAATGTATTTGATTTCAATCTAGTGGCAGCATTTTGTAAACAAAAAAACTTCTTGTAACATGAATAATATTTATTCACTGTAGAAAATAAGAACAAAAAAGAGATTTTAATACTATCAAGGAGCCCTGGTGGGGCAGTGGTTAAGTGCTCAACTGCCAACCCAAAGGTCTGCAGTTTGAACCCACCAGCTGCTCCGAGGGAGAAAGATGTGGAGGTCTGCTCCCGTAAAGATCACAGCCTTGGAAACACTGTGTGGCAGTTCTACTCTGCCCTATTGGGATGCTATGAGTCAGACTCAACTCGACGGCAATGGGTTTGGTTTGTTTTTTTAATACTATCACTTCTATTAATCTCTTGGTATAAATCCTTTCAGAGTTTTCGTCTTTTTTTCCCCCTCAAGTGGCAGCACTTCAGAGGGCAGAATTGAACTGATGGATTTAATATCTGTTTGCAAAAGTTCTTTGGATAATGATCACAGAGGTAAATAATCATTAGTTTCAACATAGGCCACCTTTAAGTATATTTTTCCAAACATTAGTAGCAATATGGCCATAAATAGCAAGCAAATGTTGAAAGTAATGTACGATTTGTGAAAGATTTTTAAGGGCATGGATACTGGATACCAAGGTAAGTCTGGATTTTATTTAGCAATGCTATTTGTAGACTTGTCTTGGAAGAAGTACAACCAGAATGCTCCTTAGAAGCAAGGATGGCGAGACTACGTCTCACATACTTTGGACATGTTATCAGGAGGGATCAGTCCCTGGAGAAGGACATCATGCTTGGTAAAGTACAGGGTCAGTGAAAAAGAGAAAGACCCTCAAAGAGCTGGATTGATACAGTGGCTGCAACAATGGGCTCAAGCATAACAATTGTGGGCATGGCACGGGACCGTACAGCATTTCGTTCTGCAGTACACAGGGTCGCTATGAGTCGGAACCGACTCGACGGCATCTAACAGCAACATCTGTAGACTGACTACTGCCCCTTCTACAAAATTATTGAAATCAGATTTCCCATATCTCAGAGCTACACAAGTCATTTCTTTTAAAATTCGGTTACCACCCTTGGTGATCTAAATATTATTATTAGGGCATTTCAACCTAGCTGTTTAAACGTCCTTCAAATAACATGTATTCTGATTTAGATACACCCCCTACCTCAGTCCTCCCCCACACGCAATCTGAACACCTCCCTCTAGTTAGGGTGAGAGTATTCTATGGCTAAGCAGAAACTGCTGCTAGTCCAACAGTTATATTCTCTGTGTTTATAATAAAACAATCGAGTAGGAAAAACCCTGTAGGGAAAGTTGATATAACAGGAGATCTAACTTAGCCCTTTCCCTGGTTTATAATTGGCGACTTTGGGAAGGAACAGATTTAATTACTTCTGGCTGCTGGCCGGAATGAATACTACAGGAATTCCAAAGGCATCATCTCTTACTAATCCACAGTAAGAAGCCACAGCATAAAATCCCACAGAGGAATGATTAAGGAAGGCAAGGTGAAACCTGGAGTTCTCCACAGGTCCCTTCATTAACAGAATCATCTCCGAAATGCTGGTATCATGAGCACAGGAAAGATAGACTCCTCAGAAAAACTGAATTGCTAATAATCCCTAGGTCACAAAATTATAAATTAAAGGAATCTTGTCACTGGAACACTCAGGACAAGGAAATCTCTGTCTTTAAATAAAAATTCTGTGATAATTTTATGGCTACT